CTGCTAGAAAACTTGGTAAATCACCAAGGTATGTTAAACAGGAACTCCAGCATCCCCCATTCTATACTTGTAGCGCTCCAGAGGAAAGACCACCTCTTTCTCCACAACACACACACAGAGGGGAAAAAAATTTTTTTTTCCTGGCCCCTGCAGGTAAACAGTGGGAGTTCTGAAACACACAATTAATTCAGTATAAGTATCAGACAAATATGTGCAGCCTACAAGTAGCAGTAGAATCTCCTTTCAGCCTTCCCTGGACTTACCAATAAATTGGATGCCCAAGGACTTTCGTCAGAAGCTTACACTTCATCTACTTTTCAAGTTCCATTTACTTTTATTTCTTTCACTGTTCTTGGAAAGCCATTACAGAACTTTACTAGTCTACTAATTTGGAACTTCTTCACGTCCAATATATTTCCAAATTAGGATTCAAAAGCTAAATGATCCTGGTGCTATAGGTCAGATACAAACAGTCACAAAACAAAAATAATAGATAACAGGTCATCCATTGTTAAAGTGAACAACGGGTACCACTCTTGAGAACAGCAGAAATAGAAACTTTACTACTAACTGAAAGAACTTCACCCAGAAGCCTCTTTATCCTGTACTCAGTATCATTAATTCTATATGCAACTCCTTTCAGGATCCATGGATTTTCAAACTTTATTAAAAAGTGATGTCACCAGTTAATGAGAGTTCTGCCTGAGAAAAGATTCAGGATACACACCTTCACAAGCAAAAAATGTGTATGCAACAAAACTTTACTCAAATATATGACGCAAATTTTCCAGTGGTTCCATGCTTCAGATGAGCCGAGTTCTCAATATGTATCTTCACTTAGAGAAAAAAAGAAAAAGGGAGCAAAAGAAAACTAAAAGAGGGCTTTCATCTGGGTATAAAAATTCTTTTCCACTAACAAAGTATCTGTAAATTAAATATACAACAATTACTTCATGGCAAAGAAATTTTGTCCACATTCTGTAGGTGTAAATATTCTGTAGGTTCTTAACCTCTGACATTCATACCTACAGTGATACACAGGAGTCTGATAAAAGTTTTTCATGTTCTTGTACTAATTTTGTTCATGTTTTGACCTGTCAGACAAACTGATGTTTTACCAGACTAGAAGTTAAATCAGATTACAGTGTTCCTGAACTTCTAAGGATCAGACTTGTTTGTCCTTATTCCTCTTATTGTGGACAGCTCGAACTCAACCTGCCTGCATTTTTCACCCTTTTTAGCAGGGAGCCATAAGGTCTTTCTGAGGAAGGCCCAGGCTGTCTTGTTTGCCTGGCACTGGTCACATAATAATGCTGATGGACTGCTGGGATGCAGAGATGGGCCTGGCACCAGGCCAGATTTTCTCTTCAGTTGTACTAATTCAGTCATCCCAAATCCAGTCCCAAAGATGCATCAGCAAGTAATATGGGCAGCTGGTGAGTACGCTTCAGGCCAAATTAAGTTATCCCACAAAGTACAGTGTAGCCATCACCCAAGTACTTTAATGTGGCAATATTACGTGGTATATTTAACAAAAAATGTCAGGGCAACACACAAAAATAAATTAGGAATACGCAAAGGCTTCTACGTATACACACATGAAAGGCAAAACATTCTGCAATGGTCATTTCAAATACAAGGGGTATAAAATCAAATACAAAAATTGCATGCAGTCATGGCTATTTAGTTTGCAGCAGCAGCAGCTGTTAATGCTCTCTTCGGTAGTTCTAATTATCTTGATTTATCAACTCAATTGATTTGACAAAATACAACGAATCAAGAAAACAAAAGACAAAGAATCCAGAAAGTACACAAAGCAACACTGTCAAAGACAGTAAGCCCCAAATGACACCTATTTACCTTTCTTCCATAATTTCTTATATCTGTTTTCAAAGGTAATATAATCCTGATGTGTATTTCTTTTGGACTTAAAACAAACACTTCAGGGATGTTTTTGTTTTTTTAAAGAAAAATTAGAGCAGAAAAAGACAACATCCAGATACACTGCAGCAAGTACTTGGACAGCATCTTTTAAATAAATAAATAAATAAGATTAGTAAATTTTCCTTACCTCTCTAAGATGTATATTTTCCTTCTCCTTCTGGTCTAAAATCACTTCTAAATGATTAACCTGAGATTCTGCCTCTGCCATCCTTCGAGTTCTCTCATTGTCATCTTCTATTCCTTTCGATGGTAAACCTTTACTTTGCAACATTTCCAAAAGCTTTTTTATTGATTCATCTCTAGCATTTAGTGTTTGCTTTTGTGTTTCAATCCTCAACTCCATTTCTTCCAGAGTTTTTCTCAAGAGGAAGAGTTCTTTAGCCTGTCTATCATGTTCTGCTTGAAGTCTTCGAAAATTCTCCTCTGTGAGCTCAATAGTAAAATGCTCAGCTCCTCGATTTCCACTTTCTTGCTGGAGAAGGTGGTTAAGGTCTCTCTGGGTTCTAAGCTCATCCTGAAGTGCCTGGATTGTCATTTGCAGATGCTGCAACGAAAAAGAAAAAACAAATTTAGGATCTGAATTCAGGATTTGTCTTTGATTAAACTTTCATTTTTTACTGTTACAAAAGTTGATTAGAATTAATGATGAAAGTAAACCAAATGACCTTATAAAATAGCAAATGCACGTGACAAAATATCTGTAATGATGTTTAAGTGCTTCTAGAAAATATAAACAAATGAAAGTGAACACACATAAAATAGTGTCAGCTACAGATAAAATTAAAAGTAAAGAAAAGTAAACTAACAAACCCAAACGCTAGGCAGTAACATATCCATTAATACACTCAATATGTACCTAAAAAGCTGAAAGACTCAGTATTCCATGTTTTCTAAATTACTTCACAGACTAAAAGGTAGTTCTGCCCTGCGTGGTGCTCAACAGTACTATTGGTCTATAAAGTTAATATAAAGTTAATCAAAGCACTCACTGTAATTGAAAGTGGGAGGGGGGAGTTTGAGGAGGGGAGGCAACTAAAGCTATGAATATGTTTAGTAAACAGGATTACTGTATCTCTAACAGGCAAACAAATATACACAATGAACAATACTGAATTTTGAAGAAGAAATTGACTGCAAATAGTGGACAAACCTTTGTTCTCCTGGCATCCAAAAACTGAACAGCATGGTAAATGAAAAAATGAAGCAAAAAATCAACATAAAGGTCAGATGCAAGCAAAGGAGATTTAACAGAAAGCTGAATTCAACAAAAAGTGCCCTCAACAGAAAAAAGTAATCTTACTGAATTATACAGTACAGCACCAACAATTTCAAATATACAAATCTAAACTTATGACAGACTTTACTCAATAGATATGACAAAGAAAAGAGTTTCAGAAGTAATAAACCTGACAGTGAATAATAGTAATAGTCCTGTTTCATCTTACTGTTGTTTTAGACTTGAAGGTTTTTCAACACACTGTAAATGGTGCTAAAATATCTGTACTACATCCAAGCACAGACATCCTTCTCTGGTCATGGGAGAAATCTTGCACTCCCTATTCAACACAATGAAAAAGCATTCTGCCCGTTTTATGGCTGGAACCTAAACAATAATCCTAAATTGCTATGGTTAATAGCATTCATTTAAGATTATATTTTTATATTTGAACATATTTGAAGATTTGTTTTACTTCTAGTTTTCTCTCTATTCACTAAAGTCTACACAGCATACTGAATTTAATAGAAATATGAACTCCTAAATAGTGACATGGTCCAAACCAGAAGGCCTTTAGTTGCAGGAATTCTGTCAGTAGACATTTAAATGACTTAAATGCATGGCACCATATATTTTTGTATCATGAATATTCCGCAACACCACAGTCTACAGAACTATTAGATTTCCTTAATTCATTTGACATTACCCTTCATGGTCAGCACAATTATATCTGAAGTTGTCAGTTTGTAACAATAAACTAAATTTCAATTGAATGAAAAATGTAAAATCCTAAAAAAAATAAACTTTTAAAATTATATCTTTTATCAATTTTTACAAAATGAAAATATATATATATTGCCAGTAGTGGAATGCTGTAATTAGATTCTTTGAATCTGCTGAGTCATTAAATGGCACTGTTTTAATAAATGGATGGAGCTTAACTGTCAATATTAGCATCTTCTTAGGTGCATACTCAGTTAATGGCAAACAAAAGTAAGCTACTCCTTTTCAATAACAATTATTAAGAAATGAGAATACTAAGAGATAAAACTGTGCATCTTAAAAGACAAGATATCTAGCTTATTTCATATTCTCATAGTCCTATTTTTATTTATCAGTAATTCCTATATTTTCTTAAAATCTCATAATCTTTTTAGTTACCTATATAAACTTGAATCCTCCCAATAAATTTAACTTCAAAAGTACTCTATATGTGGCAATTTTCTACTTTAAATCTACTAATATACTGAGTATTTATGACCACTAAAATGGACAGTTTTAGCGCAGGAACTAAATGCATAAATACAAATCAAATTTTCAAAGAATATAGAAATAATACTGAATGATTATCATGAATAAGCAAATCAACAAGACACAAAAAGGGAATGACAGAGAGAGACACACACTGCAAAGTAAACAGAACCAAAACCATGGTAGCTTTTTATCTTTAAATAATTTTTCACTATATTAGTTATACTTCAGAAATTTTGTAGATAACAACAACCAGTCAACACAGTGGTTATGCAGTAACTCTAAACTAAATGACATTTTGCTGTAGAGCATAGAGCCTTTCTGATGTAATTCTTGGGTACTTTTTTAAACAATGGAAGTTTGGTGAGAACAGATGCTTAAAATTTCTGCATTAAAAACAGTTTCTATTAGAAAAATAATCAGTCCTTGTGAAAGAGATTGCAAGATTCCTTTCTATGACAAAAAAATATTGTTTTCCTTCATTATTTTACCTAGCTTTAGAATAGAGGTATCGTTGAAGTTTTGGTGTAAGAAAACTAAAAAGAAAAAAAAAGTGAGAAACCACTTCCCCATTACATTGTTCACTACACGAATATTGAGATGAAAAAACCAAGGAGGCAGGTAAAAGTAGTAATTCATTCGGAAAGTAAATTCCCAAGTAAAAAATATCACAGAAAGCTCATAGCATACATTGGAATACCTCCATTTGCACCTTTGAGCGCATTTTAGTGATGATGTTCTAAGCTATTTTAAACTTATCCTTATGCAGACTATTTTAAAAATACCTGAGGAGGAGTCCACAGAACGATCACTACTGACTCCCCGAGTTTTGGGCTAGGCTATTGGTAGATAGGAACCAATTTGTGCGCATCGAGGTTATATTAGCAACTGGGCTTATTTGAATATTTTAGGATACTCAAAAGGAATACCAACTTTTTCTATATAGCATACGTATTCCAGTATAGATGGACAAGATCTTATCGAGAACCTGTCTGAGAACTAAGTTTTTATTGATGTGAAAATCTGAAAGCAGTATTTATCTTTCTAAGAACAGTAAGAACTGCGTGCATGCGTGCGTGCGTGTGTGGCTAGTACTCTTCTATGAAGCCAGGGACTGTTAGCCCTTAAATGCATCATATTGGTATGATTCTCCATTATAACTCAGAGTTCTAGTATTTGAACTTTCTTTTATATGGAATCCTTCTAATATATCTGTCAGCCAGAGCTTCAGGAATTATACTTGAATAAACACTCAAAAATCCAAAGCTACCCTTATTTGTGCCATTAAATAACTTCAGCATCCAGAGCACCTTATATATTTTGCAAAATTTTGCAAGGAAGAAACATTGAAGTGGGAGCAGAGTTCACATCAAATAACAGTCATAGTAATAATATATCCATGGTTTATCCCTGAAGTTTGGCAAAGAAACGGCAAATCATACCAGATGGAATCAATCCATCCTGCCTGCGTACCTTCAAATATTTTGAATATCTTTTCCCTCATAACACGTACTTTCTTTCGTCAGTAGAAATGACCCTTTCCCACCAAGCACTCATGTAAACTTTGATACCCTAAGATCACAAGAACACAATATGCAAGGTATACGTAATTATTCCAAATCAATAATTATTAGATACTTTTGATATATCTACCTTAAAAACATGATTTAGTTTATAGTTTGAAGAAATCCTTACCACATCAGAAAGGGAAAAAAAAACAAGAGTTAGTGAGTCAGTCAAGCAACAAAAATATTAACCTTAGACCTCATCTATAAGCATTTCTAAAAGCTGTCTTGGAGTCTAAGAAATGAACATAACTAGCACAGACTCAAACTGACTTTTGAATAAACTGAAATTTCATGAACAGAAATTTATTGGTGCTACGTAGCAGGAAAAAAAACTTCAGTCTTTCTGTCTGTTTCGGTAGCCTGAATGATAAGGGATTTTTTTCAAAAGCATTTTAAGAACTCACTGCTAAGTTTTTTTTAAAAGTTTCTATGGTGAACCCATGGAGCAGGATTTTTCTGCTCAGATTTTTTTTTTTGGTTGTTGATTCTTAGGTTTGTTTTGTTTTGTTTTTCACAGCTTCCAGCAGAAAATAATTATGCAGGGGACTAGCAGCTTCCATTACAAAAATACATTTTTAGTCCTGAAGGCTTCAAATATAACCATGACAATGCTGTAAATATGATGAAAATTCAAAAGCCAAAAGCAAATAAAAAATATCATATATATAAAATTTTTCATTCAACCTCATATTTTAGAGAAATAGCACTGTATTTTTATCATTTAGGACCGGGATTCATAATACTGACCTTTTTAATTATGGAAGGAAGTCCTGGTCAGAGCTTACCGAAAATTTTCAGATAAATAATTACGGAAAGAAACAATTTGTGTTAAAAACTATTCATAAATTTGCAAACTTGGCAAACAACTTTTTTCTTGAAATTGTTTAAGATGCTGACAACTTTTCGTTCACTTTTTCAAATTAAGTATTTTTAAACGCTTTCATGCCATTTTTAATTAAAATATCTTTTTTGTAATTGATTAGAATTTTTCTAAACAAAATGCTTCCTTTTAATCCAAAAAATTTCATTCAACATGAAACAAAATCTTTTCTGCTATTTAGGTTAATAAAAAAATTTTTTTTTCTCTCCATCATGGGTCATCGCAAGCAAATTTTTTTTTTTTTTTAATCAATTTCAGTCTCAATTTTGGTCTCCACATCAGCTTTCATCTAGCCTCAGTCTAATGGCATTTATTTGACGGATAAAGCTCAAGACTTCTGTGCATTTTTCAAAAGAAAGGTTGCCTGAACTAACATGTATACAAAACTTGAGGAAAGTTCTCATACTTTGCATAAGCATAGTAAATTAAGTATTCTGCATTTCAAAATTGTTTCACTGCTAAGTAACAGAAATACTCAACCAGTAGTCTAGAATTTTCTTCTCTAATCTGAATGGTTGAGGATAGATGCTCTTAATGTTAAATTAGATAGTACTTATTACTTGATGCTAAAAACAGTATTTATAAACAAACATCTTTTTCAGATGTCAAGCAGTCTCTTTACGTCAAATGCCAATGTTTAGAAGACTTTAGCTAGGCAAAGAAAAAAACATTTTTAAAACACTTAAAAAGTTTTAAGATAAAAGTAAAAGCAATCTTAACATTCTTACTGCTAACATAAAACACTTCTATAATATTTATAATTAGTGTTTAGATCAGAAATCACAGAACTCAAGCACCAAATCTGATATGTAAAGCCAGCCACAACTTTCCTTTCTATCCTGTAGCAATCAGCGTAACCCTCAGATATTACCTATAACAGCATAACGAGATGCAGTCACTTAGAGAATGATATAAAAAAGAGAGACTACTCTTTTTTTCTGTAGGAACAGTTTTGTGAAAATAGGACTGTTAAAACATAATAGTCTCAACTGCAGCAGACTTCTGCTACTTTGACATAGGATAATCCATTTTTGTATAGCTTCAAGACTTACAATTCTCTTTGAATATGATGGACCAGATTTAGACTTGTGCTGGCATAGATTTTTCGGTATGCAGCTAGCTAAGAAAAGGAAAGAACAAATGTTGTGAGGGTGGAAAAGAAACTGTATAATTAATTGCACTGGGCGAGGAACGTGGGAGTGCTGTGAATATCTGTCACTCTGCTGTCAATACATACATATAGAACGTTGGGGGATTAA